TGTATACACACACACACACACACATATATACACATCAATTAAGGGTAGCCACCACACTCTGTAAGGTAAATTCAGGGACGCTCATCCACAAAGAAGTATCCATTCAAATCCATAGTAGGTATAGAGGTACTCACGGGTCTTACAGCAGAGGTAGGTCAAAGCATCAACATTTTATTGTCAACGACTTTATCAAGTGTGTTGATAAAAACAGACTGAGCTCCCTCAAAATGTTATTGTGAACGTTTTGACAGAGGTCAGTTCAAACACTTGATAAAGACAGACTTGTCTTGATAAAGATGGACTGAGCTCTGTTAAAACGTTGATGTTTTCACTTATCCCCGGTGTAAAGCTCCATTTACACATGAGCATAAAAAACGATGCATCGCAATGTGCATTGTTTAGACTAATGCGGCGGCCAGTCCCGCAAATAGTCCAAGCACGATTTTATGGATGGACTTTAGTAATAGCCGCAAACATGCGGACATGCGGAATCCACGCGTATGTTGCCACTATGTGTGAATGGAGCCTTAGACCTGTGAGTACCTGTATACTTATTCTGGCTTTGTCCATATGCTGCACAGTGTATATATTCTAAACACATTCTAACACATGCAGATTTGATAATCTGACATAAAACCCTGGGAGCTCCTGTAAGCCTCCAGAAACACAAGCTGTAAGTGTCACCTGATCTGTGCTAATATTACATTTACTGCTATTGCTTTACCTTGTTTTCCAGCACACAGCTGCAGTTAGTAAAGCAGACATCAGCGCAGAAAATGTTCCTTACCAATCACAAGGACCAGCGGCCGGCGGTGCTCGGTGATATTCAGGGTGTCCATCAAAGTGTGCCCAGCCAGGCACACAGCTCCTGCCACACCAGGACAGTAAACTTCTGGAGGGCTCTGCCTTGTGTAGATCTGGATTGAAGACACACTGACTGTACATGGGACCAGGGAGGTGATTAGATCAGCACACAGCTAGTCCCAGGGACATGCTCCTCCCCTGTCACTAACAGCCCTGCCCAAATATACCCAAAACAGTCACACCGTGCTATGTTCCTGTACAGCATCCCACACACTTCACGGCCTTGCCTTATGGCTGTGAACTTTTCCTGACATGATTTATTGGATCTTCTGTAACACGGCCTATGTGTCCATGACAGGTGTCAGTTCCAGGTTCTGCTCTCTATGACTTGCTGTCATACCTAGCTTAGTAAATCCTTAAAGCAGAACTCCAGGTAGAAGTATTTGTAACCCTTGCAGTGGGGCTACTATCACACTTCAAGGGATAACTAGTTTATTTTTGTTTAGGGAGGAAAATAAAAGTAATACTCACCTGATCCTCCAAGCCAGCTTGCTCTCGTACGATAATCGCGGGACGATCGTACGATAATCAGCAGGTGTATGGAAGGCGTGCGACCGTTTCTACTGTACGATCGCACGTCATTTGTCTCCCGAGCCGGCTTGAAAAACTGCCGAGAATCGCATGATTGTCGGCAGGTTAGTGGCGTTCTCGGGAGACAAATGCCGCACAGGCCGGTGTTCGCAAGCCCGTGCGGCATTACAGTCACTGGAAGCACGCCCCTCGGCGGGGCGGGCTTGCGATGATCGCATGTACGATCTGCCTGTCCAAGATGGGCAGATCGCACGTTTTTTTAATTACCTTACAACCATCGCAAGACAAAAGCTTTAGACCAATCCTTGGAGCCTCTCTCCCCCTCTGCTGCAGCAGTCTGAAGTCCCACGTAGTCCCAGAGAAGCAGGCAGCTAGCTCAGAGGTTCAGGTGAGTATAACTTTTTTTTAAGCAGCTAGACAAAAACGAGCACTTAACCCATGCAGTGCAAGGGTTAATGTGTCAAAATGACTTTTGACACATAAAAGTAATTTCAAAAGTAATTTTTGATCATTTTAAATTTGCAGCTTTCATTAATATAACAACTGGGAATCCTGCCATGAATATTCCTGTGCAGCCTCTTCTTGTTATGGCGTGACAACGTTTTGTCCCTATCTCCCATGTAGTTACCCGTGTTGTCACCCAGTCATGTGCATATAGAGAGGAAGTGACTGCAAAAAGGCTACAGGAGATCAGCAGTGCTGATATTCAAAAAAAGAAGAATAAAAGGTGAAAATGTTTTATTACAAAAAAAGGGAATAGTTCATGACACACAGTTCTTCAGCAAAATAAATGTGACTCAGAGTCTCTGTGTGGATTAATACTCTTTGTGGATAGATAGATAGATAGATAGATAGATAGATAGATAGATAGATAGATAGATAGATAGATAGATAGATAGATAGATAGATACTAGTTTTAGATGATTATTATTAGTAGGTTGCTGCTTATTAAAGTGGACCTATCTTTATCCAATCCAGTCCCAGAGCCACCACACTGCCCCATGTCTACTTCTTACACTCACCAACCTTGTTCCCGCACCTCCTCTTTATTGGAGTATCTCCCATATATAAACTATATACATCCCCTCCTGCCTGTACATGTGTGAGTATTACACCATTCTCCCCATAGAAAGAAAGCGATTAAAACCTTAAATGTGGTGACTGCATTAGTTTTCCTTTTTTTAGGGCAAGTTCACACTAGCCTCAGTGCGTTCCGGTCTGCACTGGATCGCATTTTGGTCAGCTCACTTTGTTTTGGGGCGGGAGGGGGCATGGCGGTGCATTGAATTCAATGGCCCCACAGCCACACCCTCCGGCTGCAGTGCGCACCTGCCCATGAGACCCTTCAGACCCCTGGTGAGGCCCTGCACAGCCCTCCCGAGACCCCGCACAGCCCTCCTGGGACCCCACCTGAGACCTCGCACAACCCACCTGAGACCCACCAACAGCCCTCCTGAGACCCCCCAAAAGCCCTCCTGAGACCCCCCAGCCCACTTGAGACCCTGGAGATATCAGGCTGCCACACTGGAGCAACACATAGTATGTAGCTTCATATTATTCTGCATTGCTGTATAATGTATTGCTGGGATTTGTAGTACTCTATAGCTGATGGCATTCTGCATTGCTGTATAATGTTTTGCTGGGATTTGTAGTCCTCTATAGCTGAAGATATTCCTCATTGCTGTTTAATGTATTGCTGGAATTTGTAGTCCTCTATAATTGCTGGTATTCTGCATTGCTGTATAATGCATTGTTGGGATTTGTAGTCCCTCTACAGCTTGAAATCAGTGACAGAACTACCAAAGTCGCAGTGGTTGTAGCTGGGACTGGGCCCTGGTGCCCTACCTGTCCTAAAATCATTAGTCTGTATTGTTTTAGAAAAATGGTCACATGACACTAAAAAAAAGGTATCAGTAATTGGTGCGCGAGTACTTGAAAAAAAATATCTGTACTCGTACTCTTTTTTTAAAATGGTATCAGTGCATCCCTAGTAGAGACCATACTTTTAAAGAAATATACACTAAAATATTGAGAGTTTACTGATACTTTAAGGATTGGCAAACTGCAATAAATAGTTTTTTGTTTTTGGCTTTGTATACACTTTACTGTTAGTATTTTGTTTAGAGTTTTTTCTCTGACATTGGCAGCAGGTCTTGATTTTTTTAATTAAATACAGCAGGGGTGCCCATAAGGTCGATCGCGATCTATCAGTCGATCGCGTAGCGATCACTGGTAGATCGCTATGTCCTCTCCTCCCGCCGGTGGGGCTTATCTGGATCCCCACTGCTCTCCCCATCTGTATGCAGCGGGGATCCGAGAAGAAGTGAAGGAACCGGCGGTGGGGGAGGGTGGAGCCGCTGTCACAGAACTAAAGCCAAGCGGTGAGATGCTCAGTCTGGATCTGACAGCCGGCGCCTCTCTCTCCCCTCATCGCTCGGCAGCATTTTTGCGGATCGCACTGGACTGGAACGCAGCCACTAATGTGCCTGGGTTCTGGGTGCAGGCGATCGCACTGTGGCCGAGGGGCCTGCCTGCGGTGCCATTGACTTCCATGCACCGCCACGCCCCCTCCCGCCCCTGAATGCAGGTGTTTTTTCGTTGGTAGATCTCATTGAGCTTGTCATTTGAAAAGTAGATCTTCAGACGAAAAATTGTGGGCGCCCCTGAAATGCAGGCATGCACCACTTCTGATTTCCTGGTGGCTACTCTTTTCTCTGCATGCCTCCATAGAGCTTCTAGTGTAGCCACCAAAATGCTTGCTCGCTGAACAGGGTTACAGTAGAAAGCTCTAGATAATGCACTGCTGGTTGATTATAAAAAGTTTTAACTAGTTTGTCTGTTTGACAGCTGAGGTACCTATCTCCAGGGCAGCCATCAGAAATTTTGCCCCCCGCACTGCCGCCACACTGTTATTATTTTAAAATTAATATAGGTCTGACATATACCGCAGTGCTGTACAGAGAACACTGAGCCAGTCCCATCAGTCTCTGTACAGAGGAGCTTACACTCTAATGTCCCCCCACAGTCACACACTGTTATTATACATTTACAGTATCTCACAGAAGTGAGTACAGCCCTAACATTTTTGTAAATATTGTATTATATCATTTCATGTGACGACACAGAAGAAATGACACAATGTAAAGTAGTGAGTGTACAGCTTGTTTATCAGTGTGCATTTGCTGTCCCCTCAAAATAACTCAACACACAGCCATTAATGTCTAAACCGCTGGCAACAAAAGTGAGTACACCCCTAAGTGAAAATGTCCAAATTGGGCCCAAAGTGTCAATATTTTGTGTGGCCACCATTATTTTCCAGCACTGCCTTTACCCTCATGGGCATGACGACATCATGGAGCAGGTGGATGTTAGAGACCTTGCGCTCATCCACCTTCCGTTTGAGGATGCCCCACAGATGCTCAATAGGGTTTAGGTCTGGAGACATGCTTGCCCAGTCCATCACCTTTACTCTCAGCTTCTTTAGCAAGGCAGTGGTAGTCTTGCAGGTGTGTTTGGGGTCGTTGTCATGTAGGAATACTGCCCTGCGACCCAGTCTACGAAGGGAGGGGATCATGCTCTGCTTCAGTATGTCACAGTACATGTTGGCATTCATGGTTCCCTCAATGAACTGTAGCTCCCCAGTGCCGGCAGCACTCATGCAGCCCCAGACCATGACACTCCCACCACCATGCTTGACTGTAGGCAAGACACACGTGTCTTTGTACTCCTCACCTGGTTGCCGCCACACACGCTTGACACCATCTGAACCAAATAAGTTTATCTTGGTCTCATCAGCCCAGAGGACATGGTTCCAGTAATCCATGTCCTTAGTCTGCTTGTCTTCAGCAAACTGTTTGCGGGCTTTCTTGTGCATCATCTTTAGAAGAGGCTTCATTCTGGGACGACAGCCATGCAGACCAGTTTGAGCACTGACGGGCTGACACCTCACCCCTTCAACCTCTGCAGCAATTCTGGCAGCACTCATACGTTGTAATAGATTCACCCATCTACGATCCTCCGGGCCGGGGCCGGCCTCTCCAACCAGCGCCGTGCCGTCGCTAGGAGATCGAGGCGTCGGCCGCCGCTCCTGGCTCCTCCCCCCTCACGTTCGCCTCCTCCATAAGATGACGCGGGTTGCACTAGCTCGGCGTTCTAGTGTTGTGAACGTCGAGCCAGTGTAACCTCGCTCGCGTCATAGCACAGCCTGAACCGGCCCCCTGAGGTCACAGGGAATCGCCCTGCATGTGGAGCTGCCGCTGCTGCCTCGCTGGGGTATTCACAGGGATCCGATCCCTGCAACCACTACCATCCTAAAGCCTTCAGCTGGACCCTGTTGCCTCTCCTGGACTGCCACAGGGGTTCCTTCCTGCATCCCCCTTGAGCAGTTAATCTGGTGCCATAAAGTGGACTTAACCCCATCACAAACAGCAAGTAGCCTTGCCTCAGCTGAGGCTCTCCATTACTAACTCATATATGCTCTGCTAATCTGCATAGTCGAATTGTTGTACATGCTCTTTGGTACTCATTGCTGTGACTCCTTAAAGGCACAGGGCCATACTATTGAATAGACTGCTTAG